CAGCTTACACCCCTGCCCAGCCTCCATGTTCGTCCAGAGCTTGGCTGCACCACCAGCATCTCCTGCCTTCGTGATGCCCGGCCACGCGTGGGTGCGCAGGGTTTGAGTGTTGGGACACCCCGAGGAGCTGGGAGTACCCGTGTGTGCAACCCTCAGGCGTCAGGGCACGTTGTGGGGTGCGAATATTTGCATGCCCCCATCTGCCCGAAGGGTCAGTCACACACACATGCAGCTCTCAGCGCACAGGTGTGTCTCTTGGGTACCTTCAGCAGACACACGTTTTTGCTGGGTGCTGGAGACACAGAAGCAGCCAAACTGCGATGGATCTACACACGTTTTTATCTCCCTTTCTTTGAAACAGGGAAAGCTGCTGTTTCAAGCCACAGAATAGGCAGCAGCCCCTGTGCAAGACTAAAGGCATCACTGCGAGCAGCTGTTTAAAACAGGAACAGGGAGAGTTGCTTAGAGGATGTGTTATGAGATTTTATGTGTATGTGTTGGGCAGTTGGATTTTTTTTTAGTTTCAAATAAACTTTGGCATCTGTTTAGACCACAAATCAAAAACTCAGTTATAGACAAGTTGTTTTTCTTTCTTTTTCAGGCAGACTTTGGTTTCCACAGAATCTAAATATTTGACCCGCTGTGCCCCATCCACTTTATCTTTCGTGCTAAAGCAGAAGCTAAGTGGGGTAGAAGTGTTTTTACTGTTGTTCTTACCGAAGCAAGTTATTCACTGTTATTTATCCTTTTGTGTTCAGCCCAATCTTGGTAGCAAGAAAGCTCAGCCCATAGGTAGCATTGTAGGATAAAGAACTTGATAGCAGAGTCAAGCAGTGCCTTTAAGAATTGCATAAGAATGCTCATAATAAGTATTTTTCTCAGAAAATAAAAGATTGTGAAGTGTAATGGTAATTCCATACAGTGTGTCTACAGTAATTCTCTTTGTATATTCACATTTTCATTAGTGGTATTTGAGTTTTGGAACAATTTGGATCCAATATCTGTTTTACTTGGAACAGGTATTATAATATAGTAGGGCATAATGTTAAGAAGTCAATTAAAAGTAGATCTTTTGGCTGATGGATCAGTTTTGAACTCATTTGCGGTTAAGGCTCACACCTGGCAGTCTAAAGACATAAATTTAGTCCCTACTCTTTGAGAGCTACTCTTGGGTACCTATTGCCCTACAAGTGAACTCGTAATCAGTTCAGGGCTTCTTGATTTGTGGCTGGCTAGAATGAGACCCGCAGTGTAATGCTTCTCTAAGGATATGGACTGAAAATAAGGCCCTAGCATCCCAGATTGGGAGAACTGACTCTGTTTTAAAAAACTTCGGCTGTTACCATTCCTTTTTATAAGGAAAGCGTCTGTTTAGATGGAGAGTCATGATGTGTTAGTCATTTTTCATGAGGAACTTTACAATTGCTGGGTAAAAGGTTTTGCGTAAATGTAAAGTATAACTTAATTGTATCAAAAAATAACTATACCTCTGGTTGTGGGTGCTGTTGAACACTCAAGGCTCTCCTCAGAGCAAAGGAACTTGCTTTTCAGTGTCATCCCGGTAACTCCAGCTTGCTCTGCCTGCTGAAAAAGCAGATTCACACAAAAAGCAACACCATTATTTGTCTCTTTCATCTTCAAAGTTTGCTACAAACACTACTCCTCGCAGAAGAACCTTCTAGATATAAGTATGCCAACTAATAAAGGCGAGGAAATGGCAATAGTTTACGGATCTGTGCTGCGAAAGTGAGCACCGCAGGCTGGGATTGAGTTCTGTCTCCTGGAGCCACATTTGCTGTCCGCTGAGCATTAGTGCTTACTTTGCGAGAGCTCTTTAAAACAACTTGGATTTATTAGGTGGGGTTTGCCCCCGTCATCTGGGACAGCTTCTGTTCCTGGGGCACAAGTGCAGGGACCCATGCATGGAGATCAGAGCTGTGGCCGCTCCACGCGGCTGCGTGCCCTCTCTTCTAGCACCAACCTTATTGTGAAATGCCCTTTAAGTGCTCGTACTCAAGAATAGCTGCTGAGCTTTCAGCACAAGAACGTGTTTGTGCGTTTGCCTAGGGCCAAAGCAGGCACCAGTTTCAATAAATACGCCGATAAGGTATTTACCAATTACTTCTTACAGCTGAAGGTCATCTCAGCCACAGTTGTTGTGACGGTTGTTGCTGTGTCTCTGCTGGGAAATACTTTCCCTTTCCCCCATCCTGCTTCCACAGGGAGAAGCAGTTCATTACGTTATTTTCAGACACTGGGACTAAAAGGTTGATTGTTGGAAAACACTGCAAGTGTGAACTACTTTTCTGTGATACAGACAAGCGTGTTCATGAAGATATTTTTACCAGCGGAGGATGAGATTTTCTTTCCCTGTTTTTTTTTCCCCTTGAACGATTGTCACAAACTTTTGCTGTCTGGATGACAGCTTTAGTGCTAAAGATTGACAGCTGTCTCCTGGATCTGCTAGGCATTGATTAAGGGTGACTTTTGAGGCAAGAGGAGGTTTAAATTTCCAGCTCTAGCGCCACATTTTTAGTATGCCTGGGAAATATTTTAGGATTTAAGCAGAAACTCCTTATTGAAAGAGGCAGGCTGAAGGAAGTGCTTCTTAGGAGAAACAAAAACATTGGAACTTGGAGTACTCGTCATATATTGTAGAGAATCAGTTAAATACGTTTTTAGTGATTGAGGTTCTTTTGCCAGCGGGAGAAGAGAAGAATCATTCCTTTACACGTAGTTTTGAAAAAGCACAGCTGTGAGTTCTAATGTTCTGTGTACGCTGTGGTGTAAGGGGAAGGAGTATTATTTTGGAAGTGTACTTGCAGAAACCACACAAAGTTTAGATAAAATAAGACAGCGAAATTCTCTGTTTCAAAGAAAGGGAAATGGTGAATGTTGCACAAAGAATGTGGATACCCTTACATCGCACAGTTGCCAGAAATTGACACTGAAATATATGTGGTCTCTTTGTTTCTGATTTCTCCCAATCGCTTGATTTTGAATCTCGAAAGATGCACTGTTTAACTTTTCCTTTTTCTAGAGCTGTGTTTAACCAACACAGGAACATATGGCAGTCACTTTCCTGTTTACGCTGCATGGATTTTTCCTTACGCCCGCTGTCTTTCTGCTCTTTTTCACTCTTGCCTGTGTACATCAGGACAGACCCAGCCTTCCTGAGCGAAGGTACTTGAAAAAGCGGGTGGCTGGGCAGCAGAAGCAGCCGTCCAGCAGCCAGTGCCCGCTGAAGTGTTCCAGCTCCATCTCCTGCCACACGTTTTGTGAGAGGGTGAATCTCAGCGGGGAAAGAGCTGCCTTTACCTTGCTAGGAGGTGGCTCAGCGGAAAGTTCTAGTCCCAAACGTACCTGTAACTGTGTGTTGTGATACTGTTTGCATTCAACTTAACTGTGCCTGTCTCCCCTGCGCTGTGGGCATTTTCAAGATGTGCTCAGTGACAGTGTAATGTACTTGTTAATATGTAGGGGGCTGGTATCTTCAGCTAGCAGACCTCGTGAAGACAGTTGGTTAAAATCGCTATTTGTTCGCAAAGTCGATCCAAGGAAAGATGCTCACTCCAACCTACTAGCCAAAAGAGAGACCAGCAGTCTGTATAAACTACAGAGTGAGTGATATTTTTATATTTAACCCTGCCACTTCTTTATTCTGTTGCTGCGTTTCTCACGTAATGTTGTTGTTTCAGTTCACAATGTAAAACCAGAATATCTAGACGCCTACAACAAGCTTTGGTAAGTGTGTGTATTATGTTTTCGCGTTTTAAACATGTTGGTTTGATCACAAGCTCTTCTGAAAATTGGCAAATATTGGTAATACCATCATTATTTAGAGGGGAGGTAGAAAAATTCTACTTTTCCTTTCAGGATATGGTGTCAAATCTTGGAGAGATGGCAAAAGATCACTTTACTCAGTTCACCCCTTGCCTTCCCTCTTGGGGGTGTCATTTTAAGATTTGGGATGATGCCATTTGTGAAAACACTGGTGGAATTTGTTGGAACAGCTCTCCCCCTTCCCTTAGTTGTCTTACGATTGCAGGTCCATGTGGGCAGATCCTCGTGTGCTGCATGTCTCCCTCCCGCCGCCATGCAGGAAGTTTTTGAGGGTGACTACTGCCTGCTTACAGGAGAGACAGGGAGAGATCACCAGTGAATAAAACTACATGCCACTACTAAATTCAAGGACAGCTTTGGGGAGGTTTAACAAAAAACAGGGTTAACTTCTTCTCCCCTCATCTGTGTCCTTCTACAAAACTAATGCTGCTGAGATCTGCTCTTCAAGAGCCGCCCAAACCCATGGATAGGAGCTTTGTGCCGGGGTGATGTCCTCTGAAGGGAGCAGTACTGTTGAGGGTTTTACAAAAAGTTACAGCTTTATAAAATGTATGAAATGGTAACATTTTCAATTTGCTACTTTAAGGACAAAATTGCAGAAATACTAGTCTTGCTCTGCCTACAGAATCACTCCTCTGGAGCCAGAACAAGAGCCGTCTGTGTAAATTTGGAGATGTCGTGAGCCTCACACATTTTGAAAGAGCAGTGCTTTCCCACAGCGAACATCTTGTCAGTTAAATAAAACATTCTTAGCAACCATTTTTTTTAAGTGTGGTGTATTGTTGAGAACACCAGTCAGGCTGAAGGGTGGGGAAGAAGTTCACAACTCCCTGTCTGGTCCTCGAGTCTGCTCCTCACTGGCTGTACAGCCACGCGTAGGTCGTATCACATCTCTGTGCCTTCCTGTGTTCAGCTTTGAAATGGAGCTGGATAACCCAAAACTGTTTTCCTTGCTACACAGGCATAGAAACCCATCAGAATAACATTCAGTTGTAAGATATTTTTAGCTTTTTTGTTTTAAAAAAAATAGAGAAGCACAATTAGCATTCAGCCAGCTTTCTGTTTGAAAACGTAATATATATGCAAGACAGGGAACCACTTCTCCACATTATCTCATGAGCTACCAAAATGCTGATTGAAAGCAGAGGCTTTTCTCTTCAAGGAAAGAGACAACAGCAAAGAAAGAAACTGCTGACAGCAGCCAGATGAAGTGTGTGTGCAGTTAGATTTATTCTTTCCAAAGCAAAGCAAATTTAAGTATTTTAGGGAAGGAGAAACCTCTAAGAATGGAGTAATAAAAGATGCTAAGCCTCTCGGAACTTCCCTCCTTCCTCTCCCTAAATTAAAGATGAACAGGTTAATTCCTTGTTCTGTATCAAATCAGAATAAGGATTAGTCATCATGTATTAAGGAAGAAAGAATGTCATGAAGACAATTCTGAGAGTAGTTCATGAGTCGCTGTGGTTAAGAACCCCTTCTGAAGAATTAGGAAGAGTTATTTTTAAAAAGGAAAAAGTGGTGTTCATGAGGTATTCTGTGGGCGGTTTTTCCTATGGATTGAAAAAAAATATTTCAGGCTCATTGTAATAATTTAACATTTCAGTTTAAAGCTGCCTTTCTAGGATCTCATTATGCTTTGCAAAAATGAACTGATGGTGAGATATCCTTGAAAACATCCTTGGAGAGTCATTCTGTCATATTATTTACACTAAGTAGTGAGAAATCTCAAGGTACAGACTGGTAATGAGATTTGCTCAAGGTTGTCTAGAAAGTCAGTTGCAGAAGAGGAAAACTCCAATCTAATGACTCTCAGCCTGAGACCAGCCTGCTTCCTATTACTTGATATCGTTCAGAGACTTATTGCCTACGAGCCAAACTGGGTAAGAGGGGGAATTATTCAGGGAAAAATGTTAAAAGGCCAAGTTCAGCCAGACTAATTGACCTACTCATCAAAGTACAGTGCAGCGAAAGCTGTCTGAACCAAGTCAGCAATCAGAAAAGCTTAATTTCCCAATGTTAACGTATGCCACTTATTAAAATTTGAAAAAAAAAAGTTATAAATACTGGAAATACTCAAATAAAAATCCTGCGTTAGAGGTATTTTTAAGGCAGTTTCACTGTATGCTTTAATGGGTACGGTGCCCCAAACTAAGACCACTTTCTGAAATGGTAGGGAGCGATAAGGCTGCACACGATGAAGTACAGTCGTCATTTATTCTGTCAAAATACTTGGTTTATTCATTCAGCTGCACAGAGTTAATAGCACTGTAACTAGTACAGAAGACCCTCTTCCTATTTTCGTGTATTCTGCCTCCCTTGATAGAGAAAAGCTTTTCCTAAAGGAAATCACCTGTGTAGGTAGGCTGCATTTGCCGTAATGAGACATCCTGACATTTATTTTCCTGATGTGTTAGATAAACCTGCTTTATTGCATCCAGAGAATTCTCCAATTATATGTACTTGTCATACAATCTAAGGAATGGTGACATTTACCTTAATTTTTTGTGCTATTGTAGCTATCTTTCCGGTCTGTAGCAATTTTTGTATTTCAGCTTTCTCTTCTGAAAAGTAGAGCTTGTGAATTTTTGTACCGTAATGATAAACGTGTGGTGATTTGTTATACATATCAACTGTGGCCTCCCTGAAGGCAATGCAACATAGTGTCTGTATTCCTTGTTTTCAAGTCAAGAGGTGCTGCCAAAGATTCATGAAGAAAAACACTACCCATGTGCACTGGTGGGGACTTGGAACACGTGGTACGGAGAGCAAGATCAGGCTGGTAGGAGATAGAAGTACAACAGAATGTAAAACCGTGCAAGTGAAACGTGTGCTGCGCAGGTTTCTTCTCTTTAAATCCTCTCTGTTGACAGTAAACCCTGAGCAACGCGTGCAGCGAGGGGTGTGTGCCTCAGCTACCGGGAGTCGTGTTAACATGCACACTGCTTGCTTTTTGTCTCGTTGAGTTTGACGGGAGAGCGTTAATTCTGAAAATTTGTCCTCTCGTTAATGCGCTTTCATGTTTTCCAGGTGGTAGATGAACGCTTCTGGGAAATGCTTGTAAAATATAGTCCCATCATATGTTGCAGGCATGGATCATGAATGTTTAGGGTAAAGGCAAAGGCTTACAGAGAAAGAGTTTACCTTGCATTGGTCAGTATGGAAACTTAGGAAATGGGAAGTAAAAATATTTGTTTGCGTTCGTATCAGGATGCTGCCTACCTGTGCACTTGAAAATAGATTGTAACTAGAAATTACTGAAGAGCTGCTACAGAAGTAACTACAAAGAGCCTGGTGTAGAGAGAAAACCTGACAAATTTCCTAGGCTCTGGGAGATGGCAGGACTGGGAAGCGACAAGTCGAGAGCGGTGTCCTGCTCTTCCTCACGCAGTTGATGTAGCTCCGTTGTCAGAGCTGTGCTAGTGCCAATGTCGTTGCCTTGTTACTGAAAAATATATTCGTTACACATTAATTTTTCCAGCGTTCACAGCATATTGCAGTATTGACACAAGCAGTGTAAAGAAATAACAGCAGATAAACCAGACAATGTCTGAGAAACCATTCTAAAAGTCGAAGGGAAACTGGGGAGCAGAGGCAATTGGAAGAGAATGTCTTAGCCAGGTCACAATCCTCGTGTGTGTAATGCACTAACACAGACTGTAGCTGTAGTAATTACATCCACAGCCAGCCTTGAAAATGTTGTGCAATTGAGCAGATTATGGGATTTCGACCTGTTCGATGCTTATGCCCAGGCTGTGCTGATATTGGGTAGAAATACCAAATTTGCCCTGGGGATAGGGCAGCAGCAGAGGCAGGTTCACTGCGCGGATCTGCTGCCGTAGGGAGGGGCTCTACGTGAGGCTCCAGTCGCTCTCCTGGCACAGGACGGCTTTAGAGGAGAGAAAGGAACTCTCGTGACTCTTGGAGGTGAAATCCTGTTGCCTTGCCATACTAAGTGATTGTAAATCAATCTCGTTATGATTTGTTAAAGAGAGAATGCTTTGGAAAAGTTCAAATGTAGATACTTGTTATGAAATTGGTTTTTAGGGGAAAAGTCCTAGCAAATGTAACAGTTCTAGCATGTTCAGATATCTTCTGCTTTTTATTTTTAACGGAATGTTTACCTCAAAAATAACATTTGCATAATTTTTCATGCTCTACAGAAACCGTGTTGCTATTTGTGCTTGAGTAATTTGCTGAACTAAAATGTCTACCGCTCTGTCACTCTTAGATGAAATTGGTATAAAAAACATTTTTGGAATTAAGTCATCCTCTTAAATTGAATCTCAATTTCAACTACAGTCATGTAAAGTCATCACATCTTACTAGCATGGCAACAAAAAGCCCTTTCAGAAATTTCCCCGTTGTCTTCAGAGTAGATTGCAAAATTTTCCAAGAGAACCCTTTTCAAAAAGCGGACGATTCTGTTACTCTTAAAATGTTCAAATATATGGTGCTTTATTTAATGAAAATCTATTTTGAAACCTATTACTTGATTTTTACTTCTTATATATGTAGTATGAAGAGCATTTTGTACTGCAATATTCCGTAAGATTTGGCACTGGTCTGTCACATCCCTGAAAAACTTTCCTTTTTTTCTATTTCAGTTCATCTATGGAGATACGAGGGAGGCTATCCAGCTCTCAATGATGTAATGAATAAACTCCGTCAAAATAAGGTAAAATGCACTGATTTTGTTAGTATTGGATATTTTCCTCAGAAGAAAACAAGGAATAGTCAGAGCAAAAAACTGCACATTTGAATACGTGCTTTTGCTTCATTATCTCATCCCTTCCTGTACAAACATAGAAGCCTCTTGGGAAAGGGGTTTATTCTCATTTTCAGAGATGCTGAGGTTTAAAACCCGAATACTTTATGAAACGCACTTGGTGCCGGATAAACACGCCAGCTGAAATTTTCAGATGCCAGGGGAATTTAGATGCCTTTACAGTGTAAAGGATTTCAGTGTCCCAAAACCCCAAATGGCATTGGGAATAAAAAAGTAAGCCACCTATGGTATCCTGCTTTCTGTTGTTGAAACGTAGTGCACAGTTTGACAGTGCTCATGTTGGTTTTTTTAGGAATTCACAGAGTTTCGCAAAGAAAGAGGTAACATGCTTCTCTCGCGCAAGAACCAATTATTGCTGGAGTTCAGTTTCTGGAATGAACCTGTTCCCAGAGAGGGGCCTAATATTTATGAACTGAGATCCTATCAACTTAGGGTAAGTTTAAATTTTTCTTTTTATGTTTTTAAGCTCTACGTGTTGTAAAACATTCAAAGCCTGTTTGTAGAATGTAGATGGAAAACAGGCCTCGTGTTAAAGATTCGGCTCTGTTCAAAGCTGGTGTCTGAGTCACTGTTGCTCTCAAAGTGTGGGGCCCAAAGTGAAGGCAGGCTCCAACAAGATACTAATACCTGCAAGGCTGAAAACCCTGTGTTTTCATTTGAAGGAAATCTCAGGTAAATAACGAAGTAAAAGAGTAAGTAAACAGAGTAATTACAGGTGGTTATAATAGACTTACAACTTGAAGGAAGTGATTTTGTTAATATATAGTATTTTCCATACATAAATGTTGTGAAAACTGCCCCAAGTATTCTAACTTACTTTAAACTACAGTTTTAACACTCTCTTGTGTTTTTGTAGCCGGGAACAATGATTGAGTGGGGAAATTATTGGTAAGTGTTGCTTTTTTCTTCTATTTGAAAGATATATGTTTAACAATCATAAAGTGGAGGTGGCAGAATGGTACCAAAGCATTTCAGTCACCAGTTAATGACCCACTTCTCTGCTTATGCATCTTATAAGATAGTTCTTTGACCCTTAATTTAACCTTTGAAAGAAGAATTCCATGTGCAAACGACATTGTGGGCTCCGTAGTTTGGTTTTCCTTCATGCAACCCTTCTAGTTTACTGTAATACATGTTGACTACATGCTGCTAATTTTGTCTTATTTAAAAGCAGTGTGAGTTTCTTTCCATTTACATTCACTGCCCTTGCAATTCTAATGGCTGAGAGTTAAACAGTTTGGAGTATTTTCAGCTATTTAGACATGTCATTGTCACTGATGTAATTTCTTTAATTTGAATACAGTAAGTTGAATTTAGTATTTTTGTAAAATCAACGTATCTTTAGTGTAGCCAGTTGGTTTTAGAACATGCAGCAGATTTGTAGTTAAGAGAAATAGTCATCCTATTTGCACAAAAATTACGGAGCATTGCACAGGACAGTCACATAGCAACAGTCTGTGTGAATAAAAAAGTTGTATCCACGGCCACAAAATCTGTGGTAAATGAGTGTGGCAAAGATGATATGACTGAAACTCAAGGATTTAATTTTAAAAGAACCTTCTATAAAAATGACCTCCCGCTTCATACTGTTCCAGCAATTATCTATACTGAATCTAAATGATTCTAGTGAAACTGTAGGCTTCTAAATTTAACTCCTTCTAACAAGACACATCGGTGTATTTTAATTACTAAATGCTGAAAATCAACGTATTGCGATTTTTTTCCTTACTTGCTGAAATACGCTGCAAATGTTGTTTGACATTTCAGCTTCCTTTCAGCTCTGTTGTCCTTTCAATTATCACTTATTCCTGCTCAGATCTGCCCTTTGTAATGGCTGCTTTGCTCTCCTTTAGGGCTCGTGCAATTCGTTTCCGACAGGATAATAATGAAGCAGTGGGAGGATTTTTCTCACAAATTGGACAGCTGTATATGGTTCATCACCTTTGGGGTAAATTGTGTTCTCTGTCTTTTCTCACTGAATCAGCCCCCGAATCAGGTCCTTTCTTATTAGGGACTACTTATTTGCTTTTGATAACATAAGCACGACAAGCCATGTCCTGCCATCTCTTTTCTCCATCCCCTGAAGCCAGGTTTTTCCAGTTTAGTGTCAGGCATCACCTATACCACACCTGCAGAAAGGAAAGTCAGGCATTTATTGACGTTACTACATCGGAGTGTTCTGGTTTTCTCTGTGCGTTAGTCTCCCAAACTGCTTAGCTGCTTTTCACGTGTTAGGATTGTTACAACGTGAAGAAAACTTACCTAAAATTTTATTTAGAAAATCCACGGTATTGTCTTCATATCTCAACAATTCAAAATATCATACTCCAGCATTAGAAGTCTGACACCACTCGCGTAGGACCAGGCACTGTTGCATTATCTGTCTTACCTGTGTCTGAGACATTCTCTTTCTTCCCCAGTTCCTTCTGCTAGCGTTGCTTTGGGAGCTTTTCCTCTTCATGCAGAAGAACGTCTGACTTTTTTTCTTCCTGGCGTTTGCAGCCTCCTAATTACGCGCTAGAATACTCGTAAGGGAGCTGTTCATGTGCGAGAGGAAAAGAAGTTACTTCTAAGCTTTGTCCTTGTTGTTCTCCCTCCCCAGCTTACAAAGATCTCCAAACCAGAGAAGATATAAGGAACGCTGCGTGGCATAAACCTGGCTGGGATGAACTAGTCTATTACACAGGTAACCTATTAACTTCTTTGGAATGCTGAAGGTAGACTTTTGTGTGTGCCCTCGTTTTTGTTCCTCGGTGCATTGCACAGCGATCAAAAGTTTTGCATCTCTGATGTGCGTGTGTCTTGTGCATCAGTTTTTCTACGGTGAGGGAAAGGAGGGACATTTCGCTAAGCTTTAAAGTGAATTTTGAAGCCGATGGCACAAACTTGGAAAAGCTGCCTAATTGCTAAATATTTGCTACATGAATAGTAAGTTTTTATACAGGCACCTCTTTGGTAGAAGAATAGATTTGTGTAAGTGTTGAAGTTTGTGTCCAAAAATTCAGGTAGCCACTAGTGAAATTTATCTTTATATTGAATTATTACCTCTAATACGGAAGCCTTGTTAAATGCATTTCTTTGAAAAGGGAATTTAGTCTTTGGAACTAGAAACCAGGAGATCTTTGAGATCAAAGACAGCTTTCATAGCAAAACTCACAAAAGTATGCTAAGCGTGTCCGATTTTTGTTCCATAGGGGACATTTCAAAGGAAGTATATCAGAAAAATGTGAGATAACTTTCATTACGGTGAAAAGGAATAGAAATATTTTTCTTTAAAGGAGCAGACAGATTATGTTAAAAAAATCACTTTTTCTGAGAACTACTGTGCTTCAGTAACAGGAGTGTTGGTGATTTCTGATGACTTGGCATGTGCTAGCTAGGAGAGTAATTTGAAGACAATAATATCTGTTGAAACTGAGCACGCAGAACCGCTGATGATCTCTGTTAGTGAAATTAAACCCTGTCTCAATTTTTTTCAGTGCCCCTAATTCAGGAAATGGAGTCCAGAATCATGATACCCTTGAAGATTTCTCCGCTTCAGTAAAGTCACTGATTTACTTGTGCCTACATAGATAAAGTGACAAGTATTTGTCTTAAATTAATTTATGGTATACATTGTATATCATAGTCTGAAATATACAAGTACTGTACTGAGCTTATGAAAAAGACCTCTTTTCTTCAGAATCTGATGACCTTTTGCTCTTAGGATTGTACCAGGAAAAAAAAGAAATACGGGACTGTAACTGAAAGGCTGGTTAATTGAAAAACATGTGAGTTCCTCTGTGAGACAGCTGCTGAGGTTAAGCGTGGCATCCAGTGTCCAATGCCTTCTGCTGCGCAGGCAGTGCCGGCGGTCAGTAACAGCAGCAGAACGGAGCGTTACAGCTGCCGTGGCCTTTGTGCAGCATCGTAATGACCGTGGGTTTCAAAAACAAACACGGAGTTCTGAAATCAGAAGCTCTGGAGCCCTCAGTCAGCTCCGAACTACACCTGGCTGTCCTGGCAGGCCTGAATCAGTAAGTAGCTCTGAATTGACAACTAGGTAGTCATTAACTGAGGGTGCTGTTCGTCAGGGGAGGGCTTATGGACAGAGAGCAGGGCGTTCCGTTTTGCAAGGACTCTGAAGCCTGCTGAAACCAATTGCACGTTTGTGGAGATACCTGCACCTGAAATTAATTTGGTGAAGGGTGACCTACGGTTTTCAAAGAGATGCTGACAAGATGCGGTTGTCCGAACATTCTGCAGGGAGTCAAGTTCAGTTAAATGCATTTCTCTCTACCAGTAACTTGGAAGTCTAGGAAAAGGGGTTTAATTTAATAAGCAATCATTACTTCAGACATATGCTTGGTCGGGTATTTCACTAACTGTGCGGTAGGTACTTACGAATTGATGTGTGACACTGGCGCATGTTGAGTCAATAGGATTGGCATAAAGCGGTGTCCCATTATGTCCAGTTCTATTTCGGTTTCACTTTTAGACTAGAGTATATCAACACTTGGTGTCTGCAATGATGTGAACATCCTGTAAGTGAAAATACTATTCTCTCTCTAAAGTGGCTTCAAGTGTAACATACAGAATGTACAAATCAGTTACTGAATGTCCAGTTTGTACATTTCAATGAGTTTTCAGGAAGAACATATCAGTCAATAAAATCCTTTTAATTTTCACATTTGACTGGCACCTGATGTGTGGGGCACCGCCTGTGTTTTCTCTCATCTTGCCATGTTTATTGTGGAAAATTTGAATAATTGCAAAAAATATTCAGCTCAGTTAGCTAATACCTCTTCTCTGTGTCAGGGACAGCATTTGCCAGTATTCTGCTCCCCTTCTCCAAAATGAATTTATAGTACCTCCATTACATCACATTTTGCTAAGTGCCATGGCGATAAATACAAAATATTTTTAACTTTTGATTTTTGTCTACAAATAATGCTTAATTTTTCAGCTCCAATTTCCTCTTTTCTTCCCGCATGAAATACACTGCACTCTTGGCCCCGCTTGAATTTCGTCTTGAACAAAGTCAATACTTAATCTGATTCTTGTCTGCTTTCATATTTTCCTCTTGTCGTCAAATGCTTCTGGGGTTTTACTGAGTAAAATTCTGTGCTGTATTACCTTGATGTTCTCACCTTGGCTTACTCAGTGTGCCAAGTGCATCATTTCAGCTGTTACTTCTTGTAAATCAGTCACGAGCAATAATATGATGTGGGACTCATTTTTCCAGACCTTTGGGAGTATTGTTTAGCTGCAAAAGGGGAAAAAAAAATACTACAGTGTCAGCTTCGAGTCCTTATTATTTCTCCCAATAAGCTCCCATATTTCTTGTTCCTGGAGAATTGTCCTTGTAACTTACCCTCGTGGCCAGCAATCTCAATCAGACAAAAGGCAGACAACATTTTTGAAGTGAGAGGATTTTGTGGGTTCTGATGTAATCCGTGTTTCTTGCCAGGAGCACTAGGAATTAAATTCAGTCAGGCAGAGCTCTTGTTTAAACACCATAAATTTCTGCATGAATAAGAAATCTAAGGAATAACTGGATGTTGTGCAGGCTGGCATCCCATGGCACGTGTATCTGATGACTTTATACACTACCTGAGAGCTGAGTTCCCACTAGCGGTGCTGTAACGTGTTAAGAAACACACTTCCTGTCGTTCTGAGCTTCGGACTCATGCTCTGGCTGTCAGCAGAGAGGAATTAGTTCTCTTATTTTGGTTACCGATAACTACGTGAACTCACCGAACAGAACACCGTAGATAAATCAGTAATGCCGACCTCTTCTTGCTTCCCTTTGCCCCAAGCCTTTTCTCAAGTTGGTTTTTCCCCTGTTGTGAGCAGTGCTGTGATTTTCTCTCTTAATTTCATGCCAAGTCTGCTGTCTTCCTTTGGCTAGCAATATTTCAGCATTTCTTAAGAGCCGAATTTATAGAGTTCAGAACTGAAGTCACTTTCCAGTGGTTGGAAAGTGGGCAGCGGTGCCTGGAAGGGTCTCTGGTGATTATCAGTTCTTGTTCCACTGTAATTGTGAAAGACACAGTTACAACTCAAGTTTAGTTGTCCTGTAGTCTTCCTAGAAAAGGCTGCAAACTGTTGTTTTAAGAAGCCCCCTATGCAAATTGAATATACAACTTAAAAGCAATTCTGCCTCACAAATAATCACATTAAAATAAAAGGCTTTTTACGAAGTGGTCTGGCTCCCCAGGCTCTTCGTCAGGAGACCCACCCGAAGACCAGATATCACTCTCCTGAGGCTGCTGCTCTCTGGACTTTGCGCTGCTCTTTTGGGCTACGTTCAGGTAAATCGGGAGCTTGGTCACAACTTCCCTCACACTGCTCTGTTCCCTCCTGGTTTTTTCCCAGTATTTTACAGACAAAAGAGCTTAGCCACTCAGTAAGCTAAGTAATCCTTTTGGTACCTCCTGGACTAGAGGTCAGGCTCGATATTTGCCCACTGGAACGAGGGGACAGTATTTATTTCAAACCAGCAAGACCTAAAGAGCTCTTGTGAAATCGCTGGCACGAAGCCATGTTTCCATAGCGCTCAGACTGGCAGAAGATTCTGCTGTGAATGTTAACATCTTTGTGGCCCAGAGCCTCCTGCGCGGTCCTGTGACTGTGCCTTTAGTATATGTAGTTCAGAAATTACATATTTCATCTGCCATGGAGTCAGTAGGATCAGGGCCTGTAGCTATAGCTGATTAACTGGGTGTTAGATTTTAAGGATTTTTTAAGTGGCCTTTTACTTCCAGTAGAAACTGCCACGAGCAGAAACACTTTTGCTTCATAACTGCAGAATTGCAGAGGAACACACTGAATGAGAGCAGGAAGAGTTTATACTCTTTAGTCTTGACTAAACAAAAGCGTGATTGTACATGAGCTGCCCTTGGAGCTGGCTGGGATTTTCGTCAGGAAGAATTTAAAAGAGATCATCTTTACCAAGAGCTGTGGTGAGCAGCCTGCCAACCGTTGTCTGCCTGGCCTTTTGTGCAGCTTTTTAATCTCCGTATACAGATATTCAGCACAGCAGTTTGTGTGTCTGCCCTTCTCTAAAACAGGCACAAGTTTGTTTGTGGATTTGTTTTCTTTTAACCCCTCTACTTCTCTAGTATTTAAATAGTGTTGCAACTTCAAGCCATTACTCCCTCGGTATTTCTGCCATCACTGAGAGCTGCCATTCATCGCGTTCCTGAGTTCCGTTAACGACTCTTTCTCCTGTATCTTTTCTGATGATGTTGCAGAATGGACAGAACCAGTATTTCTTTTAACTATTAGTGATGCTTAAACAATTGGACAGGAGATCTCTCACTGCACCTTGATTTAGTCTTATTAAGTTAAGGAAATGTGGTGCAAGCTGTGAAAACCTGTGGCTGTCTTGGGGCTTTGGAAGGCAGACACATCCCGTTTCTCTTCCCAGCGATGGAAGAGAATTGGCACACTTGGCCTGACGGTGATGAATTAGCTTCCATCGGGTGATAGGTTATAGGCTGATGGGGGTGGTTTGTTACAGAAACAGTTTGTTAAATAAGAGTGTGGCCATTTTGCAAAACCAACATTTTGGAGTTTAAAGCATTTTAATGAAGTATGGGACCCACTGTATTCCCGGCCTTAAAATGTGCTTTTTGGACACGGATGAGTGTTGCATGTTATCTCAGGTCTGCCTGCATCTCACGTCTGTCATACTACAGGTTCAGTAACAGTGACGTTGAGTAGCAGATGACATATCAGGTTCTCCTGTAGCCCTATTTTAATGAAATTAGTGTCATTTAGTAATGTTTCCTACCTGTCTGTTCACTGTTTAACCTGGTTCTGAGATTCTTTGGAATGGAAAGTACTTACCATGCTGTTTACATTGTAGACTGTGTTGTTGTTGTTACTGTTGTTATTATTATTTTGTGTTATTATTATTTTGTGTTTGTGTCTCTCTTTTTTTGCCACACAAAATAGGTAGATGCATTAGCCTCGATGATCCTGAAACAATAGATAAGATGTTTAAAAAATCTTCTCATTTTCCTTACAAAGTGTTTGAGAAGAATGGTGCTGTTTGCAGCATCAGTTTGAGGCCAGAGATGAAGGTACCCAACAGCCAGAATCATTAAAAAAATCCAGAACACAACTTTGCAAACAAATACATGTTTAATTGAATTGTATAACGGATTTACAGTTGTTAAATATATTATTTTACTGTATAATTTATCGTTCTTCCAGTTCCTTTAGCAATTCATCAAAGTGAGTAATGTACCATTTGGCTTTCTCCTTTACTTGCTTTCTGATTACATTTCCTCCAAATCCGATGAAGCAGTCCTGGCAAAACAGAAAGAACCCGCGCAGTTCATGTAAGGAATGGAGCTTCTCAGCAGTTAAGTTTGGGTTTAGGATTGGATTTTAAAATTGTTCTTTCCCTGCCTCTTCCCCTATTTTATTTGGCATGTTCATTTTTCAGATCTATTAACATGAAATTCAGTAACATTTAATTTGCACCACCTTGGTTGTTAGAGTGTTGTTCCAATAGGAAAGTTGTGTCTCAGTGCCTCCTAACTTCAACATTGTTTGGATCTGAGACTTTACCAAAAATCTGATGTAAATGTGATGCAACATAAGGCCTTAAGTTAACATTTAAACATGCATGGAGCATCTCACAATTATCCCTATACTGTTTATCTTAACTCTGTTTACCTCATTTGGTAGATACCAAAAGTAAACATTAACTGTGTCTTCAATCATTAACCAGGAACAATCATCAGTTCTACATCTTAGAAAATCACCTGCAGACACTGCAGTGTTTAAAATTTCCACGGCTGCTTTTTTACCTTTCTGGAGAAAGCATTAAGCAAATACTAAGCAGCTTTGGTCAGGCACATCGTTAACAGGGAGGGACCCGTCAGCACTCGCATCAGCAGGAGCTCTCAGAGTTTGCTCCCGGGATATTTATTTGTCCCGCAGTGCTGGCGAAGAAGGGATATCGGGAAACTTTTATGTAGAGAAAGGCACTAAAGGGGAGATGGAATTAAGATTTCTCCTCTGTGAAATGACTGTTTATAAAAGTTATCTTTCTGTTCGGTTTTTTTTTGTTATTTCGCCCTGTCAAGGCTGATCCCTTCAAAGGTATCAGCACCGTGCAGTGAGATGAACCTCTTGTTCATGATGAACCCTCACATGCACCAGATCTGTGCCAGGCCTCCGTGCTAAGCACCGTTAACCAGCTTTCAGGACCAGGGTCTTGGTAGGGCAAGACCTCTGCCCAGCAGCAGGCACTTACTGGGGGCCTGTAGAGGGCACAGGCAGACAGGGTAATACCAGCTTGATTTGAGACAGGTCACCAGACTAGTAACGCGGTTCTGCTAGACCCAGCAGCGTCCTGGCTTAGAGGGCAACACCCTTACTGACATTGCCTGAACCCAGAGAAGTCAACCACTGCGTGATGCAGGCTCTCTAGGGGAAACTACCTACACACGTCTCTCTCAGGCTGTGGGAAGTCCTAACGATCTTCCCTGAAGTTTTATAAACAATTCAAAGCACGCTTTTTTTGCCCAAAGGATTTGCTCAAAAGGAATTTAGAACTATGGTTCTTTAATACTTACAGCAGGGGGACAGGCTTCCATGTCTGTAGCTCCATCTCCAATCATAACTACTTTCTTAAAGTGGAACTGTTCCTTCAGATGAGTGATAACCTTTC